AATTGAGAATATGGGATTCAAGCAGGGGGAGCGAAGTCACGGAAGACCAACCCATCGGAAGTGAACAGGAGGCAATTGTCACAATTGAATACTCTAAAGGGCTACCATTCATATTATCTGTTCATGTTGACCAGTCTTTGAAGGTTCATTCCCTCGAGCCATTGTCTTCTTTCAGACATGGAAATAAAATTGAGCCTCTACTGGTGTCACGACAAATTGCTGGCAACGACGATGAGGTTATAGATATGGCCTGCATTGGTCGTGACAGATCACTGCTTGCGTTGGCCACTAACTCAGAGTATATAAGGATTGTTCGAGCCCAGTCTATGGAAGAAGCACAGGGCCCTGGCAGTCACTTTGGAGCAGATATTGCTCGACTGGAGGGCCATGAAGAAATTATAATATGTCTTGATGTCGACTGGTCTGGATCTTGGCTAGTAACTGGCGCTAAAGATAACAACGCTAGGATATGGCGAATAGACCCAGCCTCATCATCTTTTACTTGCTTTGCAACTTTCACTGGCCATGCTGAATCAATAGGGGCCATTGCATTCCCGCGGTCAGCTCCAGCTGAAGGTACTCCTGCTTTTGAAGATCCCCTCAACCACCCACCTCCGTTTTTCCTTACTGGCTCCCAGGATCGGACAATTAAGCGATGGGATATGTCCAAACTCTGCGTCACGGCATCAAAACCGCACGCACCAAAGGCATTATATACCCGAAAAGCGCACGAAAAAGATATAAATGCACTTGACGTGAACCATTCATCTACTTTATTTGCATCTGCATCGCAGGATCGTACTGCGAAGATATGGTCGGTCGAGGATGGGTCTGTTACAGGTGTCCTTCGTGGGCATAAGAGGGGCGTGTGGTCTATTCGATTTGCGCCCAAGGACACCCCAGTTTCTACCACCGCCCCTGGTTCAACCAGTAGAGGGATAGTTGCGACTGGATCTGGTGATAAAACTATCAAATTATGGAGTCTCTCTGATTATAGCTGTCTCTTGACATTTGAGGGACACAGTAATAGCGTACTCAAAGTGATATGGCTCCCGCCTCCACATATCTCACAATCTGATGAGGATATCTCTTCTCGAGGAGCTGCACAAATCAATCCCCTAATTGCCTCCGCTGGCGCTGACGGGCTGGTCAAGATATGGTCCCCATCCACAGGCGAAGTAGAGACGACGCTAGACAACCACACTGACCGTGTCTGGGCTTTGGCAACTCCATATACACCTTTTTCCACGACAACTGGCCAAGGGAACTTGAAAGGCAGGAATCTTGACTTCTCCCTAATTTCAGGCGCCGCGGATTCTGTGGTGACTTTCTGGAAAGACACGACCTCAAGTACCTTGTCTGCTGCTGTTACAGCAAGCTCTGAACGAATTGAACAGGACCAGCAACTACAAAACTACATTCACGCTGGCGCGTACCGTGAGGCTATTACCCTTGCTCTCCGCCTGAACCATCCGGGTCGGCTACTATCCCTATTTACTTCTGCCATTGATGGGAATGATGACACTGCTGAGAGGGATCCCGACAACCTGACTGGGAACCCCGACATTGATGCAGTTCTCAAGACTTTAGACGATGAACTTCTATATATTCTTCTAATTCGCTTACGAGACTGGAATACGAATGCTCGGACAGCACGGATTTCACAGCGTATTCTATATGCACTCTTCAGGTCATACCCATCATCCACGTTTATTGAGCTTGCTGGCCGAAAAAATATACTTCCGACCGATGGTAAGTCAGGGAAATCAGCTGCCATGAAAGATATCTTGGAAGCCTTAGCTGCATATACGGAAAGGCATTACCGGAGAATTGAGGAGCTAGTTGATGAAAGCTACCTCGTGGAGTGGGTTCTTGGTGAGATGGACGGAGGAGTGGGAAGTGTAGCACAAGCACCTAATGGTACAGATGGGGAGGATATAATCATGGTTTAACGTGGAAAGGATGCCATCACCATTTTCCACAGGAGTTAGCGCAATAAAAAGTGGATTTTTATGGGTTCGTGTAAGGAGTTGTATGTATAACCGCTGGAGTTCTTGATCATTTGATATATTTGGTTAACATTAGATCGTGATCTAAACCGCTGTCTACTAGTTGATATACTGGTACAAATTTTACAACAAAGCCAACAATAACTACCCACCAGGTAGTATTCCACCTAAAAATGTCGAGCACCCCGCTATCTTTTGTCGTAACGCCTCCTATCTCGATCTCTCTCCCTGTCCCTCTTCCTGTCCCTGTCCCTGTCCCTATCCTTATATCTATCCCTTTCCTTATCCCTTCTCCTATCCCTTTCCCGTTCACTTTCCCTACCCCTATCTCTATTCCTATCGCGAGCTTCATCTTTCTCCCTACCATGATCATGGCCTCCCCTTCGCTCGTCTGTTCTATCCCGACCGCGCCCTGACCCACGGTCCTTGTCTCTATCCCTATCCCTATCCCGATCCCTATCCCGATCCCTATCTCGGTCTTGATGACGACGGCCGCTTTCAATATCTTCTTCGGTAAGGATCTTGCCTGTTTTCTTATTTTTCAGAAGGACGGGCGTATACAATCCTTCGCCTTCATTCTTTGCTTTTCTCATTGCTGCTTTTCCCCAAGCCCCTAGTTCAACTTCGGCATCTCCGCCCTTTCCAGAGAGATCTTTTGCGCCAACTCCGAGGTATCCGGGTCGCCTTTCAGGCACACGGGCTGCTACTGGGGTATTTCCGTAGTTTCCTCTACCAACAGGCTGGCCTTCTTTCCAACCCATACCACGTAGCAATGCGGCACCAAACTCCTCGACTGGCACTGCATTATAGGCACTTAAGCTTGCCGGAGCAGGGCGTGACTCTATATCCCGACGAAATGATTTGCTTTCATCGTAGGCCGAAGAGTTATTCTCTTTAGGACGAGCAGAGATGACGAGGTCTGAACGTTTGGATTCTTCTGGCTCCCCTTTGCTCTCACGGATGAGAGCCTGTAAAGCAACCTCGTCCTGCGATAGTGGTTTCTTTTCCGGCTCTTTCTTGGTTATAGGTGCTTCTGCGTCTGTATGATCTCTATTTCCATTCTTTTCTGAGTCTGCTGGCGCTGTAGGTACCGCAACTTCCTCTGCGCTAGGCTCTGCATAGCTCAAGCCGATTTTCACTTCTGGGGCATCGACCTCCATCGTCGACTCCGCAGTTCCGTTTGCTTCCCTTTTCCTTTGGCTTGTACTTCAGCAGGGATCAAACTTCGTCGTGTCCCCTGTGTTCGAGCATGTAGTTTATCTCTCCATTTATTTCGTGACTCAATCTTGATGGTTAACGGTTCTTTTTCTCTTTTCAACCGTTTATTGCTGATTATTGCGCCGCCAGCCTGGTGATCGAACCCTGTGACATCTTCATGCCGCGGTTCTGCTTCGTCTTCACTAGCTGAATCATGTTCGCCGAATTTTCGAGTTCTGCTCGAGAGTTCTCTTGTTCCGAATGGTGCTGATTTCTTTTGGGACGAGGGTGTAGGTGTTGAACGGCGAGAAGAGTCGGCTGAGAGCGCAATAGAAAACGGTTTCGGCTTAAAAACTCCTTCTGAGCTTTCAGGTTGCATCGTGAAGCTTGAAGTAAGGTATAATAATAGGTTAACTATCCTGTATAACCCTTGGTGGTGAGTTGAAAGATTCAAAAACTCATTTTAAACTGTTAGCTCTTTTGTCGCGATAGCTACCTATTTGGATGACTAAGCAAGAATATTGATAGATAGAGCGCTGGTTGCAGCCTGATGACGTAGCAATAGATGAAGAGTATATAATTCTAATGGAAGGTCGATGAAAATGATGATGCTTAAATAGTTTTGATCATGGTTATTAGAGAGCTATAGGTGCGTATGGTTAGATCACACTGTCCAGAGGAGACAGACCAAACACACAGCATGCAAACCTATACATGCACGCATCTAATGCAATATAAGTACATACATTAACAGGTGAGGCAAGGGGGAACATTGCATTCGGTAAAGACGTACGTATGTGCTGGGGGTGATAATGGTGGAAGGGTAAGGGGGTAAAGGGTAGAGGTGGAAGTTGAGAATGGTTTGGAAGTAAAAAGGGGCACGTCGTTATCCATGTAAAGGCATCAGGCGAAGTAATTAAAACAGAGTAAAGTATCGAACGAAGCAACTGAAGGAATAAATAACACCGCCGGTAAGAATCATGTACACGTTAAATCCCCATTTGTTAAAATTCCGCTCAGCTAGATGCCGCTTGTGCTTGCGGGGGTCTTGGGCTTTTACCAGGCTGCGGTGGCTGTGTCTGTTGTGGTTGAGATTGTTGCGGCGGCTGTTGCTGCTGCTGTGGGGCCCCCTGGCTACTAGCAGGTCGCTGGCTCTGTGGGGTTGCGCTTCGGCTTTGATGCATGAGCATGTTGGTCATAGCGGGGCGGGGCTATTCCTACCCCTGGCCGGTTCTGTTGACCATTAGCCTGCGAGACTCCCAGACGGTTCATGTATCCTTGTGTTTGGTTTTGCAACGGCACCGATGGTACACCATTTACAGTGCCTTGCTGAGGGATCTGCTGGCCAGAATTCCCTGCTTGGTAGTTAGGAGGTAGATTGCTGACACCAAGGTTCCCTGCTGCGGCGTTTAGCGCTGCCTGTGACAATCGCTGTTGTTGTTGCTGATACTGTTGTAGGCGTTCTGTGGCAAGTTTTGAGATTTGTTCCTGTGACATAGTGGGATGGAGGCGTTGCAAAGAGGCTTGGATGTTGTTTAAGTTGGGCAATGCTGGAGCGTTATTGAGTGGGGTGGATGGATGATTCATGCGCGGGGAAGCGGCAGGCATCATGCCAGGAGCAAGAGATGAGGCAGCAAATGACGGGCTTCCACCATTGGTTGCAGTTTGGAAAGCGGCCATGAGGGCAGGGTTATTTCCTGCAGTGGCGGGAGTAGCATTCATGTTAGGCGAAGAATGGGGTCCCTGTTGTGGAACGAAGCCTTGTTGACCACCGTGGAACTGGTGCTGTTGCTGGCGGGATTGCAGAAGACGTTGTTGCTCTTGGAGACGGTTGGCTTCACGGATTATACGTGAGTTGTCAGGGGAGGTTTGGATAGGAAGACCCGGCCGGCCACTGATGGGCTGTTGGAGGCCTTGTTGAGGCATCATCTTCATTGGCATACCGCCGGAGACTGGGATTGGGCCGGTTGCCGGTAGGCCATTCGGCATAGCTGCCATACCTGGGTGCGGACGAGATTGAGAGACACCTACGCCGTTTGGTATGCCGTTCGCCAATCCATTTGCAATGGGAACTTGGACACCACCAGCGCCATTAGGAACCGACGCTGGGGGCCGAACTGGTATACCATTGAACTGACCAGACGGGTTAAGCTGGGCCGCGCGCTGAGCCATGGCAGCCTAGAAGTACCAAGTCAGTGATGGGGATGGGATGTTGTATGTTTTGCTAGAAAGTATCATACCCGCTGATGAGCAATCATTTGCTGACGGTACTGCTCTTGTTTCTCCAAAAACTTGAGTTCCCTTTCATGCTTCAACTGGCTGAATTCCTGAGGCGTTGAGATTGGCGGGCGTGGCTGGGTTGCTTCATTGACCTTGCGCATGGAGGCAAGTTGTGTGGCTAAAATGAAGAATGTCAGCTTTGTGACACAGAAAAAGTGATATATACAGGGAAGAGCAAGAAGAGGCAAAAAAAAAAAAAAAAAACTTGAAATGCATCCATACCATGCTGTTGCTTCTGAAGGTTTGTCTCTCGCTTCTGAGAGAGCTTTCGCATTCCAGCTAGAAGTGCCAAATGCCTCGAAGACCGCTTTCTCTCTACTCGTAATGGCTGTGCAGTACGCCTCCGTATCATAGCCTGTGCTCCTGGGTTTACTTGACCACCGTTCTGCTGCTGCTGCTGTTGCTGCTGAATAGCCTGTTGCTGGGCGTTCATGATTGTTCTCTGAGCAGCTTCAAGGCGTGCATTATATGTTCGGAAATACGGAGTCTTCGCCATGTCAGGGGGTAGACCCTCTAAATTGATCCACCGTTCAAAGCATTCCCAAGGGGTTCTTCGGTCAGATGTAGAGACAAAGGAGGACCGCGGAGCCAAACAGCTAGCGATAAGCGACCAGTTGAAGGAGTACTCTTGTACCAGTTTTCGAAGCTCGTCATCCTCCGCAAGGGTCCAGTGGGACGATTGTCGAGACTCATAGAATCCAAGCGGTGGCATGATGTACTCAGTTGGGGGACGGAATGCGTTACCTGGGTGGATCCGATCTCGAAGGGCTTTATATTCGGATGAGAAGAGAGCAACGTCCATCTGTTCTGGTAAGAGTGATCTATATGCATTCTCTTCCTCGCCATCATGATACGTATCTTGCTCGTAATCATAACGGCTCCGCTTCCTTGGTGGACCGTCTTCTTTGAACTGGATCGTTCCCTGGGCGTATTTCGAAACCGGCAGTAGCTGCGTCTTCCACACATCGTCAGGCTGGACTTTGAAGGCAGGTTTATTGGTTTCCGGGACTATCTGTACGGGACAGTAGAACGGGAGTTCTCCAAGTATTTTCTCCGAAGCCATGTCCGTTCAATGCGGAATGTGAACTCAGTCCGAGCCGGATGAGAAGATAGCAGCAGGACATTTCCATCATCAAATCGGATGATCGTCATTAAAACCATCAGCTAACTGAGTCG